AGCCACAGTGTCTGTATGTATATCCACAGTGTCTATGTATATCCACAGTGTCTATGTATATCCACAGTGTCTGTATGTATATCCACAGTGACTGTATGTATAGCCACAGTGTCTGTATGTATATCCACAGTGTCTATGTATATCCACAGTGTCTGTATGTATATCCACAGTGTCTATGTATATCCACAGTGTCTGTATGTATATCCACAGTGTCTGTATGTATAGCCACAGTGTCTGTATGTATATCCACAGTGTCTGTATGTATATCCACAGTGTCTGTATGTATATCCACAGTGTCTGTATGTATATCCACAGTGTCTGTATGTATATCCACAGTGTCTGTATGTATATCCACAGTGTCTGTATGTACACCCACAGTGTCTGTTTGTACATCCACAGTGTCTGTATGTATATCCACAGTGTCTGTATGTATATCCACAGTGTCTGTATGTATAGCCACAGTATCTGTATGTATATCCACAGTGTCTGTATGTATAGCCACAGTGTCTGTATGTATATCCACAGTGTCTGTATGTATAGCCACAGTGTCTGTATGTATATCCACAGTGTATGTATGCATATCCACAGTGTCTGTATGTATATCCACAGTGTCTGTATGTATATCCACAGTGTCTGTATGTATATCCACAGTGTCTGTATGTATATCCACAGTGTCTGTATGCATATCCACAGTGTCTGTATGTATATCCACAGTGTCTGTATGTACACCCACAGTGTCTGTATGTATATCCACAGTGTCTGTATGTATATCCACAGTGTCTGTATGTACACCCACAGTGTCTGTATGTACACCCACAGTGTCTGTATGTATATCCACAGTGTCTGTATGTATATCCACAGTGTCTGTATGTACTATCCACAGTGTCTGTATGTATATCCACAGTGTCTGTATGTATATCCACAGTGTCTGTATGTATATCCACAGTGTCTGTATGTATATCCACAGTGTCTGTATGTACTATCCACAGTGTCTGTATGTATATCCACAGTGTCTGTATGTATATCCACAGTGTCTGTATGTATATCCACAGTGTCTGTATGTATATCCACAGTGTCTGTATGTATATCCACAGTGTCTGTATGTATATCCACAGTGTCTGTATGTATATCCACAGTGTCTGTATGTATATCCACAGTGTCTGTATGTATATCCACAGTGTCTGTATGTATACCCACAGTGTCTGTATGTATACCCACAGTGTCTGTATGTATATCCACAGTGTCTGTATGTATATCCACAGTGTCTGTATGTATATCCACAGTGTCTGTATGTATATCCACAGTATCTGTATGTACACCCACAGTGTCTGTATGTATATCCACAGTGTCTGTATGTATATCCACAGTGTCTGTATGTATATCCACAGTGTCTGTATGTATAGCCACAGTGTCTGTATGTATAGCCACAGTGTCTGTACGTATATCCACAGTGTCTGTATGTATAGCCACAGTGTCTGTATGTATATCCACAGTGTCTGTATGTATATCCACAGTGTCTGTATGTATAGCCACAGTGTCTGTATGTATATCCACAGTGTCTGTATGTATAGCCACAGTGTCTGTATGTATATCCACAGTGTCTGTACTGTATATCCACAGTGTCTGTATGTATAGCCACAGTGTCTGTATGTATATCCACAGTGTCTGTATGTATATCCACAGTGTCTGTATGTATAGCCACAGTGTCTGTATGTATATCCACAGTGTCTGTATGTATAGCCACAGTGTCTGTATGTATAGCCACAGTGTCTGTACGTATATCCACAGTGTCTGTATGTATAGCCACAGTGTCTGTATGTATATCCACAGTGTCTGTATGTATATCCACAGTGTCTGTATGTATAGCCACAGTGTCTGTACGTATATCCACAGTGTCTGTATGTATAGCCACAGTGTCTGTATGTATATCCACAGTGTATGTATGCATATCCACAGTGTCTGTATGTATATCCACAGTGTCTGTATGTATATCCACAGTGTCTGTATGTATATCCACAGTGTCTGTATGTATATCCACAGTGTCTGTATGCATATCCACTGTGTCTGTATGTATATCCACAGTGTCTGTATGTATATTCACAGTGTCTGTATGTACACCGACAGTGTCTGTATGTATATCCACAGTGTCTGTATGTATATCCACAGTGTCTGTATGTATAGCCACAGTGTCTGTATATATATCCACAGTGTCTGTATGTATATCCACAGTGTCTGTATGTATAGCCACAGTGTCTGTATGTATATCCACAGTGTCTGTATGTACACCCACAGTGTCTGTATGTATATCCACAGTGTCTGGCTGGGTAGCACACTGATTATGGTGCTTGGCTTGCAATCTGAAACTTAAGTTCAATCCCTGAGTGAGTGTTGACTCAGCCCTTCATCCCTCTGGGGTCAATAAAATAGATACCACTTTGTCAACATTGGATGTCCTATGGACTGACCCTGCCACATGAGTTTGGAACTTCCAACGCTGGTTCAGGGCTTTAACAAGAGCCATCGGCAACGATTTAACCCATTGCCCGGGTTCTTTGGGTTAACATGTGTTTTTTCTCCACGAGTCTATTGTTGCTTTTATCTTCCACTTATTTTCCAATTGTGCTATCGGCCAAGTGCCACAAGGCACGGACGTTTCCATCCGGGGCTCTGACAATGAGCGGAATATTATTCCGTTGTGTCGGAGAACGGTCAGGTGAGATAACGTCACGGAAACGCTCCCGAGGTTGTATTACCGTGTAGCATAGTCACAGGTGGATTAAACTCGGATTCGAACCCAGGGCCTCAGCGGTGTCGGCTGCAGTGTCGGAGATGGACATTCTACTCCTGGTCATCATCAATGCACATTGACACCAAAAGACAAATATAGCCTCAGCAGGCTGTTGAGGCAAGGATCGTTAGCGAGCACCGATGAAGGCCAGCACGGCACACGAGGGGGGGGGGGGAGTGGCCAGCACCATGTCCGTCCACATTTGTCTCCACAGTGGCGATGTTTACACACCGTACCAGGTACTCATTTGAGGCTGAGTCGACCTAGGTGAGGCCCAGGACCGGTTCAGATAATCGTCAGTGGTGTTGGCCGTGAGCGAGAATTGAACTCGGTTCTACGGGTTCGTAGAGCAGCGCGTTTACCGCTACACGACCGCTCCCCATCATTGGCAATCACACTGCACACTGACACACACATTGACAAAGGTCCCCCGTATAGCCTGAACAGACTGTTGAGGAAAGTGCTGTTAGCGAGCACCTATGAAGGCCGGAACAGTACACGCCCAACACACCCACACACACATTAACACACTCACTCACACACACAGTAACACACTCACTCACACACACAGTAACACACTCACTCACACACACAGTAACACACTCACACACACAGTAACACACTCACTCACACACACAGTAACACACTCACTCACACACACAGTAACCCACTCACTCACACACACAGTAACACACTCACTCACACACACAGTAACACACGCACTCACATAAACAGTAGCACACTCACTCACACACCCAGTAGCACACTCACTCACACACACAGTAACACACTCACTCACAAACACAGTAACACACTCACTCACACACACAGTAGCACACTCACTCATACACACAGTAACACACTCACTCACACACACAGTAACACACTTACTCATACACGCAGTAACACACTCACTCACACACACAGTAACACACTCACTCACACACATAGTAACACACTCACTCACACACACAGTAACACACTCACACACACAGTAACACACTCACACACACAGTAACACACTCACACACACAGTAACCCCCTCACTCACACACACAGTAGCACACTTATTGACACGCACAGTAGCACACTCACTCACACACACAGTAACACACTCACTCACACACCCAGTAACACACTCACACACACAGTAACACACTCACTCACACACACAGTAACACACTCACTCACACACACAGTAACACACTCACTCACACACACAGTAACACACTCACTCACACACACAGTAACACATTCACTCACACACACAGTAACACACTCACTCACACACACAGTAACACACTCACTCACACACACAGTACCACACTCACACACACAGTAACACACTCACACACACAGTAACACACTCACTCACACACACAGTAACACATTCACTCACACACACAGTAACACACTCACTCACACACACAGTAACACACTCACTCACACACACAGTAGCACACTCACACACACAGTAACACACTCACACACACAGTAACACACTCACTCACACACAGTAGCACACTCACTCACACACACAGTAACACACTCACTCACACACACAGTAGCACACTTACACACACAGTAACACACTCACTCACACACAGTAGCACACTCATTGACACGCACGGCCCACAAGCGACGCCAGCTCAAAGACCGCGGGCGGCGCGCCAATTCTCACGCGGTCCAGCCAGCAGAGCGAGGCTCGTAGACAAAACTCCAAAGGCAGCAGCAGCGCAACGCTGCGATCGAGAGGCAGCCAGAAGCAATCTCTGCCCGGCCCATTTCGTGGGCGATGGCTGCTACTGCGCTGGGAGAGAATCTGCTTCTTTCGCGCCGATTGCAGCAGCGGGCGACACTTGAGCGGGGTTTTATTTCCCCAGCCGGCCCCGCCGAGATGCCCCTGAGTCTCGCGACGAGGAGGGAGCGCCGCTCGCCTACGAACCTTTAATGGTCGACGAGCACTCGAGATTTGTGAAATAACATTAACAGCCCACAGGCCAATAAATAATTGATGAATTAATGTTTACCAACAGCCTGTATTATTCCGCGCCGCATCGCTTCAATTATTAATGGCGATGTGACGGGAACATCACAAACGGGAGAGGGGGGTAATTAGGGTGAATAGTAATTTATGCAAATTGCATTCCTATCACCCACTCGGCATACCGGCCCTCTGCCTCGACCCCTCCCCCGTCCCTCTTTCATCGAGGAGTGGCAACGCGCCCCATCGGCCCTCCTGCTCCTCTCACTCCACGAGGCACAGCGCACTGCTGATGGAAGCGCCTCCCGCTGAGAGGCAGCTCAGAGGGACCCCTCTGGACTGGAATCCCCTCGCCGTGCACGCTGGCCAGACGTCTGACAAGGTGTGGCAGTACCCACAGTTTACACCACCCCACGAGACGTGCATATCTATCGACGAGCTGTGTTAGTTTACACTGCTGACTAGACAGCGTCCAGCCTGGCGGGGCGGGAGGGGGGGGGTCTCTGTGGGTGGCCGCCGCCGCCGCTCGCGACCGAACTCATCAGCGCCCAGATGCCGCCTCTGCACTTGGCCGCGTTGCGCTGAGCATCGAACGTAAAATACTTTCTTGATTACCCGGGGTGTCCCCCAGAGGACCCTAACGACCTTAATGTTCAGCGCCTCGTGCGCGCACGCAGCCCTAACGCAGCCAAAAAGCAACTTCTAAACGCGGCCGTAGGCTGCATCTCGAGACCGGTCGATGTCCCGACCAGCCAAGGGAATACAATGTTTTCGCCTCACCCCCTCCCTCCCCCACCAGAACTATTCCCATCGTCATCGGGACGTGCGTAATGTGCATGGCACCGGTGCAGTGCAGTCACCCTGACCGTACAGCCAGCCCTCCAGCTCGGTGAATGTACCCGACCGAAATGCAAACGATAATATAATGCTCAGGAGGAACATGCGGAAACAGCCACCGGCACACCGAACACAATCGTAAGATCTCTCTCCCTGGCAGGGCGTTCCTCGCTTTCTCTGCGCTTCACGCTCAGCAGAATCTGCGTAAGGGATTGTTGGGTCACTCGTTTGGCATTGGCCAAATGATGTTTGTCTGAGTGACATTTTTTCGTACAAAAATGTTATATCGGCCTTATGCCCACGTTCGCTTTGTCGAGGGGCAGAGGCTTGACGCAATATCCACACCCCAACGAGAAAGTAACACGAGCAATAATTGGATGCCAGGACGGATAAAGGGGATTTGGCCACTGATAACATTGCTTGGACACAAAGACCCCCCTTATAGCCTGAGCAGTTTTGTTGCGCAAGTACTGCTACCGAGTGTCTATGAAGGTCGGGAATTTGGCACACGAGGGGGTAAGTGGCCAGCACCATGCCCGGCCGTCTTTGTATTTCCACTGGCGATGTTTATACACCACACCAGGTACTAATTTTACGTTGAGTGTACCTAGGGGAGACCCAGGCCCGGTTTTAGTATAATATCCACCGATGTTGGCCGTGAGCGGTAATCGAATTGGGGTCGCGGGGTTCTTATCGCAGCGCACAAAGACAAAGCCTGCGACAGACTGTCGGGGCAAGTGCCGATGAAGGCCGCCCCGGCCCACGACTGCGCAGTGGCGCCGTGTCCGTCCGCGCGTCGCCGCGTGCCGAAGGCGCCGCGTACGTGCGCTGCGAGTTAAACAACCCTCGTGCGCTGCGAGTTAAAAAACTCTCGTGCGCTGGAGCCGCGCGCGCTGCGAGCTCGGAACTCACGCCTGCCCTTTAATTGCGCCACTTGAGGTGTAATTAATGACCGTCATTATAAGTGTCTAACTGTAATGGATTGAGGTTGGTTCGTATTTTTTTTTACTGAGTGCATTACAGTGAATTCATTAACTTGTTTCAAATTAGCGCCGATGCCATTAAAACCAGGGGGGAAATAACATATTTTAAGTATCCAAACTAGAGTATATTTCTGTATATACAAACCACGCCAGTGTGTGTTTAATGACTGCGGCTCGTGCAGATGATGTGTCATTTATAATGTCTCGGAAATCCATGCCGTCTTCATTATCACCATTCTCGTAATTCCCGTCCGTGTCCCCCGCTCTTTGTGGTGTGGCATGTGGCTGTGTGCTGCGTGTGGCTGTGTGCGGGGCTGCGTGTGGCTGTGTGTGGCTGTGTGCGGCGTGTGGCTGTGTGCGGTGCTGCGTGTGGCTGTGTGTGGCTGTGTGTGGCTGTGTGCGGCGTGTGGCTGTGTGCGGCGTGTGGCTGTGTGCGGTGCTGCGTGTGGCTGTGTGCGGCTGTGTGCGGCGTGTGGTTGTGTGTGGCTGTGTGTGGCTGTGTGCTGCGTGTGGCTGTGTGTGGCTGTGTGCGGCATGTGGTTGTGTGCTGCGTGTGGCTGTGTGCGGGGCTGCGTGTGGCTGTGTGCAGTGCTGCGTGTGGCTGTGTGCGGTGCTGCGTGTGGCTGTGTGCGGCGGAGTCGTCAATCGGCTGCCACGTGCGCACGGAGCGCTGCTGTCGTCGTTGTAATGAACTTGCAGCGCCCCGAAACCGTCCATCCGACTTCGGTTCCCACTCACGGCCAGAAATCAGTAGCGAATATTTGAACCCGTTCCTGGATCGATTCCGAACTCAAATGAGTACCTCGTGCCGTGTGTCAACAAAAGATGACCACTGAAGGAACAGGCGGTCGGGCGTTGTGCTTGCTGCACCAGCCCACCCTCTCGTGTGGCCTTTCTCGATGCTCGGTAATAGCACTGTCCCCAGCAGTCTGTTATGGCCGTGGGGGGGGGGGGGGGGGCTAAGGGGTCTTTGTCTCTTGCGCCACAAGTGCGTTTGACATGAATATGCATGCACACACTCGCGCGCCCGTTAGGCCTGTGGCATCGTGCCCGTACATATCGTCTTAGAAGCACGAATACAAAGACAAAGATCCGCGTAAGGACTTTAACGGACTGTTGGGGCAAGTGCTGATAACGGGCACCTATGAAGGCCAGCACGGCACACGATGGGGTGAGTGGCCAGCACCACACCCGACCACCTTTGTCTCCACGAACGCACACGGGAAGGCACGCGCACACGCGCACGCACGCGCGCACTCGTACTTGAACTCACGCCTGAATGCACGTGAACTCGCACACACGTGAACTACCATACCATTCCAACACAAACACGCAAAGACAAAGATCCCCAATATAAAGCCTCCACCAGACTATTGGGGCAAGTGCGATTAGCGAGCACTTGTAAAGGCAAGGAGGGGTGTGGGGCCAGCACCACGCCCGCTCCCCTTTGTCTTCCCAATGCTGATAGTTACGCAACGCACTAGGTTCTCATTCTAGACTGAGCCGACCTAGGGGACGCCCAGAGCATGTTGAGATATTTCACTGTTGTTGGCTGTGAGCAGGAATCGATCTCGGATCGCCGAGTTCGACATCAGCACCCAGGCACGAGGTGTGAACTCACGCCGAGTCTCATCAAGGCGTTCGGTATTGGCTTGGGGTTGCCGGTCTTCGGCCTCTGATCGTGCAGTATAGCCACCACCACCCGGCAGACGGAGATGATGATGCTGATGATAGCTAAAGAGCTCTTGAGCTTTTTGTTTTCAAGCGTGGGGACCAACCAGAGGACGATCGCGGGAGTATTATTTGCAGCGCTCGAGAAAAGGCAAAGCCGGGATCATCAAGGAGAAGACCGCTTGGGTTGTCACTGCGCGCCCGGGCGAGACGTGACGGGAGCGATTGGGAGCGTTTCCACGCTCGTGGTCATTAAACCCGCGCCGCGGACTCCAGAATGCGGTCTCTGCGGAGGAATTGTCCGTGGCACTCCCCCTCTTCGCCCCGTGTTAAGTAAAGAAGAAGAAAAAAACACACGGTAATTGGAATCCTCCGTTGGCTGATATTAAATCGCCGCACGATTTAAAGTAAATAACTTAATTTTGACTTCCCGATTCAAGCCTCTGCTGCAAACCCAATTAGGGCTGGCTAATTATGTGTAGTTTTATTTTAACTTGGGAACAAAAGTAAATTGGCTTTTGATGAAGAAACACACATCTTAAGCGTTAATGAAGGTGCGTGTAGGAGAAGCTATTAAGTGAAAGTCTTCGTCGTGTTCGGTGTTATTTTGTCTGAAGCTGAGTTGCGCAAGTAATTTGAGCGCATCGTGGGCCAGCTACGTTATAAATTTCCGCACCCGGCACCCCACATCCAGGATACTTCTCGCTATGGATGCGACTAATAGCCACGTGCCTACTTCAGTTTTGCAGCGAACCCGAAAAATATTTAATAATAAAATAAGCCATGTGGAGTTGGTGCATAAATAAGGTTGCTTGTGTGAACGGTTGTATATGTCTTCTCTGCCATGATGTGATAATGATAATAATTTAGCAATTTATTCACTCAGAAAGTCTGCATCGAGTATCATGACTCTTCTTCAGGAGGGTCCTGCTGCATTGGCTCGTTTAGTCAATCTCATTCATGAGTGCTGTTCGGTATTTGGAAACCGGAGAACCCGGAGAAAACCCAACCACGCGTATTCGGGGGCGACATTCAGCGCTGCCATCTCCTGGCCGCACCTTGCTGTCCCGCATCTTCAGCACCAGGCCGAGAAGCCCCTGCTGGTGCTCAGCCATTGAAGTACGAGCCCGGCTCATCTATGCTTAGCTTCTCTTATCTGATGAGACTGGGCACAGTGGAGGGGATTGGGCATAGATTAAACGTCGCGTCACCGGGATGCTGGACCTCATGCTGTTGACATTAAGTGCCCATCACAATGGACGATGCGTCTCTCTGCACTTGCTCTTTACTAAACCGTGCCGCGGAGCTTTGGCATCAGATTTTCTGCGCCAATTCAAGTCAAAGGTCGCAGTCAGGATTTATTTCTGACCGAATATTTTCCATGTCGCCGGTAGACTGCAGTAGGCAGCACGCGACTGTAGTAGCAGCAGTCATAGCGAGAGGTAAGCTGGATGTACGTTGAACCTCTTTCGCACCGTAAGTCGCCAACTTTGCTCATCGGGGATGTGGTGTGCCTAGTGCGTACATATAATAATGCGGGTGTCCGACTCGGAGAGACGCAACTGAAATCACGCCCTGGTCACAGTGTATCCACTGGAGGCCAGGAGCCGGCAGTGGAAATTCCGTATTCCCATGGTGGGAGCCAGTCTCTCCATTGGACGTCACGGGTTGACCTTCCACTCAGTGGCACGAATTCTTTTGGCCCTGTTGGGGAGTGAGCTGAGTCGCCCTGGAACTGAACTCGAAAGATCTTGTCAGCAGCTTTTACGTTTATAATCTAGGATCATGTAGTTGTGCCAAATATCGGTAGTCTAATTGAATAATTAATAGTTGTGTATCCCTCTTATTGGACATGTAATTGGAAAAGAAGAGACTGAATATATACATAGAG